CAGTTTCCCAGACATAAACAGATACATAAAAATGGATTTTATTCCCAATCTTCTAAAAAATAAAATGTCCCCCCTCCCCCAATTGTACATTTTATTAAAAGCAGAGAAGTGCTCCCCATTGTTCTTGAGGCATCTATCCAGATTGGATAGTTCAGCACTCCCAAAAGTGGAAATCAAAGGGGGATTAGTATCCACTTTTGGAAACACTGGTTCAAATGTTTAGATATGCAGTAATCCCATTTCCAGCCTGACTAAATTTTCGTAGAAATTGGTGATCTTAACTCTGTGTACGTAGTTCTATTACTGGTTTCTGTTGACTGATTTTGTTTATTGTTAGAAATCAAAAACATTCCTTAATGCAGAAGTAACTTCCAAGTCATTGTCAGATTTGATATGCCTCTAAATTTTCTGACCTTTGGGCCACACCCAGCAGGATTCATGCAAATAATGCTCTAGTTCACTGAGTAATTTTCATGGCCTCCCAAATTATTTTTAGTTTAAAAAGTATCAATTGTATTTCTGTTTAGAATATTTGTAAGCCTTACTAGGAGGCATGAGGAGTAATAAGATATTTTCAATTCTGAGACGACAGGAGATCTCAGCCCTGGGACCCGCGCGCCTTTGTTCCTCTGCTGGTACCTTCATGTGTGCGGAGAGTGGTCTCAGCATGGTGGTGGCTGGTCCTGGAGGTCTTCAGCTGCCGGAGCCCTGGTCGGGGCGGGAAGGAAAACTCAACCCGCTCCCCTCCAAGGGGACCCGGCAAGGACAGCCAAGTGCGGAGGCAGGAGACTCTGCGCTGTTCTCTCCGGGAGCTGGGTTGAGCATCCTCCACCCAGATCCTCCAAGTTCCAGTATGCGGGGCTCACACCCACCAACTGACCCCCTGGTGCCGTGTAATCCCATCAACGGCCAAGACTCAGAGACTATAAAACCCAGCTCCCGGAAACGCGACATCTTATCTCATTCCTACTTTGGACAAACTGGCAGGCTACCGAATCTAACCTGCCCAAACTCCCTGTGGCGTACCCAGTATGTCAAGTACCAGTAACAATGAAGGGTCTCATTCTCCTAACTCTGAAAGAGCCTTGAATATGGCACTTTTTAAAAAAATCTCAGGGCTAGGATGAAGGAGACGTTACTGTGGCCTGCTCGAGGCAATCGACAACAGGATGGTTGTGATTGATTGAGACGACAGGATGTTGAAGGGGAACAGTTTGTACAAGGAGGGAAACTAAATCATCTCTGTGGTGAAGATTAAGGATTACATAGGTTAAGGGGGGTGGGGGGTGGGAATCACCTTAGTTTACTTGAGAAACCCGAGTGCAAATCTTTATGGTTTCTGCTACTATCAATTCTGTTTTAATATTCCCGGCTCCTACACACAGGGTCACTGAGGGTCTTCCAAGAAGGTAAACTCTAAAATTAGTCATAACACAGCAACAGGGCGTTTGCCTTGCACGCAGCCAACATGGCCGACCCGAGTTCGATTCCCCTGCCCCTCTCGGAGAGCCCGGCAAGCTACCGAGAGTATCTCGCCCGCACGGCAGAGCCTGGCAAGCTCCCCGTGACGCATTCGATATGCCAGACACAGTAACAAAGTCTCCAATGGAGACGTTACTGGGCCTGCTCAAGCAAATTGACGAACAATGGGAGGGCCTTTACATTTACATTTATTATTAGTACATATGACTAATGAATAAGCATTTAACTTTATATTAATTCCTGCACTGCACTGTAGCACTGTCCTCCCATTGTTCATCGATTTGCTCAAGCGGGCCCAGTAAGGTCTCCATTTGTGACACTTGTTACTGTGTTTGGCATATCGAATTACCGTGTTTGGCATATCGAATACGTCACCCGTAGCTTGCCAGGCTTTGCCATGGGGGTGAGATACTCTCAGTAGCTTGCCGGGCTCTCTGAGAGGGGCGGAGGGATTGAACCCGGGTTGGCCAGGCCGACTGCATGCAAGGCAAATTCCCTACCGCTGTGCTATCGCTCCAGCCATGAATTCCTAATGTTTTAAAAAATTAAAGTGGGTTAAAGTGGGCTACTGGAAATTTCAGTTGAATCCTGCGATACAGTGAAAAATTTTAGAAATTCCTATTGGTACACGGTGTACCCTACTCTCCAGACTTGTATTTCTCATGGGCAAAGTATATTCTAGCACTACACCCCATTTGAACCATCATTGTTGACGATTTTCTTGCCTAGCACAATAAATTGCTGGGAAAATACAGGCTTACAAGCTCTTGCCTTGTATGTGGCTAGCCTGGGTTCAGCCTCTGGCAGTGGATATTGTCCCCTAAGCATACACCAGGCGTGGTCTTGAGTGCAGCTGGGTGTGGCCACTTTTTTTCCACCCCAATCCCATCCTCCAAAATAGTTTTAAATACTTTTAAAGCACAAATTGCTCATATTGTGCTCTTCGAGAGTTGAATTTTTTAAAAAAGTTAGCAACTGGTGCAAAATTTAGAGGATTCTAAAGCCTCGCGGTAAATCTAATCCTGGCATTTAGAGGAAAAGGAGAGGGGAGAGGCAGCGTTTAACAAGAACTGAATTTTAAGTTAGAGGGACCTGAGAAGATGGTCGGGCGCTTGCCTTACACTGGGATTGATTCCTGTCTCCCGCATACCTCCGAACACGGCCACGGGTCACTTCTGAGCACTACCTCCAAAATATATACAATGTTAAGAGATCCAGGATGGTCCATCCTTAAGATATATAAACTGGATGTTCCCAAACAATTTTTTACAGCTCTTCCCCATGCTTATACTATTAATTTTGGTTAAAACTAAAGCATTTGTGCAATTACTTCCCTAATTCCAATTAGCATGAGACTAGTGAGGATTTTATTATCTGTATCTTTATGGGATCTAATCGTGCTTTCTAAAGTCTTTCAGTGATCCTTAAGGCTTTAATTCTTAACTATCAGAGTCACGAGATACTTCACTTCTGACAGAACTCCGGTCTGAATATATATCACCTGATCACTTGAGAAGATATATATAATATATAATTTCTTTAAATATATTTATTTTTGTGCCTACTCGAACTGGAGTCGAGCATCCTCCACCCAGATCCTCCAAATTCCAGTAGGCGGGGGTCACACCCACCAACTGGCCCCCTGGCGCCGTGTAATCCCATCAGCGGCCAAGACTCTGAGACTATAAAAACCAGCTCCCGGAGGAGAACAGTGCAGTCTCCTGCCCCCGTGCCTGGCTATTCCTCCCCGGGCCCTTGGAGGGGAGCGGGTTGAGCTTTCCTCCCCGCCCTGGCCAGGGCCCTGGCAGCCGAAGACCTCCAGGACCAGCCACCACCATGCTGAGACCACTCTCCGCACACCTGAAGGTACCGGCAGAGGGACAAAGCCATGTGGGTTCTGGGGCCGAGATCTCCAAGCCTACTCGGACTGGAGTCGAGCATCCTCCACCCAGATCCTCCAAATTCCAGTAGGCGGGGGTCACACCCACCAACTGGCCCCCTGGCGCCGTGTAATCCCATCAGCGGCCAAGACTCTGAGACTGTAAAAACCAGCTCCCGGAACCGCGCGGCCGCAAATGCGGCCGCGCTACATCTTATTATGACATCTCATTCCTACTTTGACAAACAGGCAGGCTACCGTATGTAGCCTGCCCACAGGGCAGAGTCTGGCAAACTCCCCGTGGTGTACCCAATATGCCAAATACCAGTAACAATGATGGGGCTCATTCTCCTAAAGAGCCTTGAATATAATCTCAGGGCTAGGATGAAGGAGACGTTACTGGGGCCTGCTCGAGGCAATCGACGAATAACAGGATGATCTGTGATCTGTGATACTTATTTTTGTAGAATATATATAAAGAAAATCCAGATCCTGGAACCGCGTGGCCGCATTTGTGACCGCACGACATCTTATCAGAACTTTTTTTTATGACATCTTATTATCTCATTCCTACTTTGGACAAACTTGCAGGCTATCGAATGTAGCCTGCCCACAGGGCACAGTCTGGCAAACTCCCCGTGGTGTACCCAATATGCCAAATACCAGTAACAATGATGGGTCTCATTCTCCTAAAAAGCCGTGAATATAATCTCAGGGCTAGGATGAAGGAGACGTTACTGGGGCCTGCTCGAGGCAATCGACGATTAACAGGATGATGAAATGAAATGAAATATATAAAGAAATTATGTGTGTAATTAAAAAAAAAAACCTTTAAACCACCGGGCACCTTACAGTGGCAATCTGGGCTTAACCCCGCAGGGAAAGTCGAAACTCAGTGCTTCCTAGCGGGAAGTCTCCACCGGGAACTGTTGCGGCGCAGCAGCCGCTCCCCGCGCTCCCAGGCGGGCGTGGAGAGACCCGGAAGTCCCGGGACCGCGGATCGCGCAAGCGCAGGTGAAGTGCTCCCATTGGTCACTCCGACCCGGAAGTTGCGCTTTTCGCTCGGACACGCGCCGTTTCCCCATCGCGGGTTTGTGACTGGCGCCGAGCGAGTCCGTCGGAAGGACCGCCCGGCTGGGGCTGCGCTTGCGCGCCTGTATCCTCGCGGCCGGATCCGCTCAGGGGGTCCGTGCGGTTGTGTTTGGGCGTGGAAATTCTCTCGCTAGGCGGTCCAGTGCGCTCAGTGCGCTCAGCACCCCGGAGTGGGCGGGGAGGACGGCGAAACACACTGTCCCTGGAGAGCCGCCCCACCCCGCTTCGGAAAGCTTTGAACGTGCGTAAAATAACCATTAAAAGATACATTTAATACTATGGCATATGTATGTATTTTTTACCATTTTTAAAAGAATTCCTGCCGATACCGCTTTAAGACTTTTAAGAAGTACTTCTCGTACTCGGGTTATAAAGGAAGGAAAGGAAACACTGGCGTGGTGGAGCCGTGCTCTGAGTCAGACTGCTGCTAAGGACCGTCGGAAATTAACAGCCTGGCCGCCAGCTGACTCCGGAGTCGGTGTTTCGTCTGCCTTCTGCTGGGCGGCGGCTGCGACGCTGACGCCTGACCGGGCGGAGCGCCTCGGCGATGGAGGAGCCCGGAGACGCGCCGGCAGCCAGGCGGGGCCCGCCAGCGCCCGGGAGACCCGACTATGCGCTCGGACTTACTCTCGTGGGACACACGAAAGCTGTCTCTTCGGTGAAGTTTAGCCCCGACGGGGAGTGGCTGGCGAGTTCTTCTGCAGACACACTTATTATCATCTGGGGAGCCTATGATGGAAAACACGAGAAAACACTTCACGGCCACCACCTGGAAATATCAGATGTTGCCTGGTCGTCGGATTCTAGCCGGCTTGTGTCTGCCTCCGATGACACCACTCTGAAGATCTGGGACGTGAAGTCTGGAAAGTGCTTGAAAACACTGAAGGGGCACCGTAATTATGTGTTTTGTTGTGACTTCAATCCACCATCCAACCTCATCATTTCAGGATCTTTTGATGAGAGTGTGAAAATATGGGAGGTAAAAACAGGGAAATGCCTCAAGACGTTGTCTGTTCATTCTGACCCAGTTTCGGCTGTTCATTTTAATTGTAGTGGGTCCCTGATAGTGTCAGGAAGTTATGACGGTGTCTGTAGAATCTGGGATGCAGCATCAGGTCAGTGTCTGAAAACACTTGCAGATGATGATAACCCTCCTATCTCCTTTGTAAAATTTTCTCCAAATGGTAAATATATCCTCATTGCTACTCTGGATAATACTCTTAAACTATGGGATTACAGCAGAGGCAGATGCCTGAAGACATACAGTGGTCATAAGAACGAGAAATACTGCATATTTGCCAGTTTTTCAGTTACTGGTGGAAAGTGGATTGTATCTGGCTCAGAAGATAATCTGGTTTACATTTGGAACCTTCAGACTAAAGAGATTGTACAGAAATTGCAAGGTCATACAGACGTTGTAATCTCGGTAGCTTGTCATCCCACAGAAAATATCATTGCATCAGCAGCATTAGAAAGTGACAAAACTGTTAAACTCTGGATGAGTAGCTACTAGACTCTTATTCCAAAATCAAGTAGTAAAGCTAAGTTGGCACCAAAAGGAATGATGGTTTCACGGAATTTGGGAACTTTTTTATTTTGTAACTGCCCTGGATTATAAAATTTTAAGATGTATAACCTAAATTTAAAACTAATCAGTTGGAAAAGCAAGTCTAGAGTTTAAACCTTCCTCCGTTCTTGTGTGTGAGCTATACCGTGGACCGTAGGGGTGCCAGGGATCTACCCCAAACTACCCCAGGTCTGTAGTGTGCAAGGCAAGGGCCTTACCACTATACTTCTCTTCCACCCCAAAGGGTTTCTGAACTTACCTTTTCTTGGAGAGTAGGAGGGGAGGTAGGGGTGTATGTGTGTGTGTGTTGGTGGTGGTGGTGGTGGATGGGTAGGGGGCATAGGAGGATTTAAGACCACGAGGCGGTGCTTAGGGCTTACTTCTGGCTCTGGGCTTAGGAATCACGGTTGGTTGGTTCTGGGGACTGTATGTGGTGCTTGGGATCAAATCCAGATCCTGCCCACTGTATTAAGGCACCAGCCCTTAATCTTGAGGTCTGTTTCATCTCATGTCTTTCTCTGAACAGATTCCCATGCTTCTAAATGACTGCTGGAGGATTGACATAAAGGTAAAAAGGTAAAGGCCCTCCCGTTGATCGTCGATTTGCTCGAGCGGGCCCAGTAACGTCTCCATTGGAGACTTTGTTGTTACTGTGTTTGGCATATCGAATACTCTCGGTAGTTTGCCGGGCTCTCCGAGAGGGGCGGAGGAATTGAACTCGGGTCGGCCATGTTGGCCGCTTGTAAGGAGAACGCCCTACCCGCTGTGCTATCGCTCCAGTGATTGACATATTAGGGAAATATTTTTGAAGGTCTACAAGAGCGACAACACAGCGGGTTGGGCATTTGCCTTGCATGCAGCCTACCTGGGTTCGATTCCTATGTCCCTCTTGGAGAGCCCGGCAAGCTACCGAGAATATCCCATCCACTCAGCAGAGCCTGGCAAGCTACCAAGGCATATTCAATATGCCAAAAACAGTGACAAGAAATCTCACAATTAAGACAGTACTGGTGCCTGCTCGAGCAAATCGATGAACAACGGGAGGACAGTGCTACAGTGCTACAAGACAATGAGAATGAGGGTAGTGATGAAGTCTCGAGTACCTCTAAGGTTTTCGTTGCTTTTTGGTTTGAACAATGAAATGGGTAAAAGCAGATGCCTGGGGTTGTGAGAGATAAGAGATGTCAGGTGATAGCTTACATCCTGAACATGAAATGGTTCATGAAATCAAGTTTATAAATGGGGAATAACAAACCATGGTAAGATTCATTGAGAATAAACATCTAAATTTTAAACCCAAACCAAAGCAGTATAAGTGGCATTTACTGAATGATCTTTCAGTTTCTTATAAGGCTGGGATCTCTTTATTTTCAGGTAAATTTAATGTCTAAATGGTGAGGCTGCTGCTATCTTATGTGTCTGTTCGACTAATTGACCCAGGCCTTAGACTCAGCTCAGAAATCACCATGAGGGAACTACAAAAAAGAAACTGCATTGTGCCAGGCCATGTGTGCCCACCTGACATGGCAAGGGTTGGATTAAGGTTTGTCTGGGTTTGAGTACTTAGGGCCCATGCAGTACGGAAGGCTGAAGATACAAAGTATATGCCCCGTTCTGAGTTATTTCCTGGCCTCTCCTGAAGTACAGTTTTCTATTTTCTAGAGTTTCTATTAAAACTTCAAAGTATATTCTTTACTAGTTTGTAATAATTTTATGGTCATTTTTTAAAAAATTATAGATTTTATGGATTAAAAAAATTTGTACCCATCTTTGTATTCTTGATTTTTGTCTATAGAAAGAACTCAAATAATGTTTGTTGAATGACAATGAATGATAAAATTGCCACTTCATTCCTTACCTACTTTCAATAAGCTTTGGTAACCAATTTCCCTTACTATTATTTTGTTCATTTAAAAGTATCGGACCACAGTCTCACATATTAACATTATTTAAACTGAGATTACGAAGTGGAAACAAGTTTTTTTTCCCACTGTTACCGATGAGACATCATAAACATGGAAGAAAAATCTAGAAATTAAGTCCCAAAGGTACAATAGTTTGCCTTAGCTGAAAGCAAAGGCAAAATTTCTTGTTTCCTTTGTTTTCTGTTGTACATTATGATAGTGCTAATTAAATTTTATTTGCTTGACAAGTTCTAAGGAATATATTAGTTATTACTGGCATACTATGGCTGAATAGTTGGAATGTAAGAATACTGAAAAATGTGATCGTATAAGGATAAGTGTAATTCTAACAAGTGTATATACTCCCCATTAAAAAAGTAGTTATGTTACTGAATAGAATGACACAAAATAAACATATAAATTCTTGGTACATTTGTTAGCTTTAGTTTAATGAAACATTTTTATTGTAATCTCCAGGATACAACACAGATATTTCTTCAGTAGCCAAAAATGTGATTTTTCTAGGAAGAAATATTGCTGATCTTTAAGGAAGTACACAAAAGCGTACTCATTATTAAAACAGTGGTAGAGTTAAATTATAAGTGTTCCAAAATAAGACTTAATGAAATAGATTCTTTTGCTGATAAATTTGAAAGTGATAAAATAATTTGACACATCAAAAGAAGTGAAGACCAAACTACTAAAAACTGAAATATACAAATAAGAAGTTGGTGAAGCCAAAGGTGGAAAGATGCGTTACATTTTGCCATTTTATGAAATCATATTCCCAAACAGCTGTATATGTCCCTTTTTAATGTTACATCCCTCTGACAACTATAAGGTTGGTATGGCTAAAAGGATTTGTTCATTCATTATTAAACAATGTGAGAGTAAATGAAACATTTACAACAAAAATTCAGATGTTTAAATGAAATTGAAAAATAAAAACATGGGGCTGGAGCGACAGCACAGTGGGGAGGGCATTTGCCTTGCATGCAGCCGACCTGGGTTCAAATTCCAGCATCCCATGTGGTCCCCCAAGCACCGCCAGGAGTAATTCCGGAGTACAGAGCCAGGAATTACCCCTGTGCATCACTGGGTGTGACCCCCCCCAACACACACACACACACACACACAAAAAGCAAGCAGCCGGACTAAATATGAGTCAATCTGTCAATTTGGCATCCTAAAGTATAAACACGATACTTATGAGGCTAGAACACTCCTCTTTCAACATTAAGAAGATTTTCATAATTGAGAAATTTAGTACAAAAGCAGCAAGGAAAAGCAACGGTCAGAAATTCCAGACCATGGGACAGAAGTGGTTGTGCAAGCCCACACTACTGAGACCTCAATATTCTGGAAAACACAGGGTCCACCACTTTTTCGTTACCTGGTCAGAACTTTTTCAATGGCTGCTCTCCTACAAGCCTCTGCCAGCAACCCAGGAAGGCAGGTGGGGGGTGGGGAAGGGGTGGGGTGCTGCCTCCCAGAACTCAGAGCTCCAGGCCCTCGAGAAGCCGACTTCACTGATGCAGCAAGGCAGTATATTCCACTGGCTTTCCTTCTCAGAAATGAGTACCAGAAGGGAAAAATAAAAAAGCTAAATGCTATTTTGGCTTTTGGGGAGAAATCACTTTAATATTAAAGTTGAACTCTTTTTTCATTTTTATTCTCTCCAAAAAACTGAGAGATTGCATTTTTCTTGAAGCAAAGCCACAAAATATACACAAGCCCCTTTTGAAAGAACATTTATTTATGCCTACAGAGCAGAAATAGAGTATTTGTGTAAGACTGCAAACCATATTTCCATGAAATGGATCTCGTACCACATTCTTTATAATACAGGCTTGACTCAGCAACGTTATCCTGAACTGTGAAAAATCCAGTCAACAGGGACACCTCTCCTTACTCGGTTTTGGCCTTCAAAGCTGCTTCCTCTCTCAGACGAGCTTTCTTTTCTAAGTTCAGGCTTGTTAGAGTCTCATGTCTTCTGGCAGCCTACGAGAAACATATTTGAACGGGTGATTCTAGAAGTTTGGGGAGGATGGTATTTCCTTGGCCTAGGTCAGCAGATTAACTAGGCAATATACACACCGAACAGTTTGCGCTTGCACGCTCCAGCTGTCTTGAATGCTTTGCAGTAGGGTTTCAGATCATCCCTACATTTCCTTCAAGAACAACAGAAAAATGCCTCTATTTTCTCTTCCTTTCTGGCCTCTAGGGAATGGGAGGAGATCCCAGGGGAGCAATTTATTCTTAGCTATTTAAACTCAATTAGTATACATACAATGCATACTGGACCAGAGAGATAGCACAGTAAGTAAAGTGCTTGCCTTACATGTGGCTAGATTCAATCTTTGGAACCCCATAGGGTTCCCAGAGCCCTGCTTGGAGTGATCTCTGAGTACTGAGCAGGGAGTAAGCTCTGAGTCCAGCCACATGTGCCCCAAAACAAAGCAACGCCTATTTCATAAAACTCTAGATATCTTTATGTTCTATCCACAGCTGCGTGTTTTACTCTGGGGGTGGGGGGTAAAAGCCTGCATAAGGTCGAAGGATGAGACAAAAGAGAAAATGAAGAGGGGCAGGAACAGAGCTGTTGTTACATGCCATGAGTCTCCCCAAAGGGCCAATTTTCCGTAGAGACGAAAGAAACCTGGGAGTTCATTTCCTTTTTTTCCTGGACCCTCCGGGGAAAATAAATTAGGTCATGACTGTATTCTAAAAGCACTCAACTCATCAATAATAATAACATCAAAAGACATTAAAAATGGGCAGGTGAAAAAAGAGGGGTGGGAGAAAGAGAGAGAGGAAAAGTGCCTGCCATAGGCAGGTGTGGGGGAAGTAGGAGGTGGAACAGAAACCAGGGACATCAGCAATGAAAAATGTGCACCAGTGAAGGGATGGGTGTTGGAACATTGAACTCCAATCATGAACAACTTTGTAACTGAATATCTCATGATGATTCGATTAAAAAAAAATAGGAGTAGGAAATTTGAATACCTCTTCAGAGGTTATACAGATGGTCAACAGGCAGATGAAAAGACGTAGCGCTCATTATCACTGACCATTAAGGAAATACAAATTAAAACTACAATGAGGGGGCCAGGGACATGGCTCGAAGAGGTGGAGCACATTCCTTGCATGTGAGACCACATTTAATTTCTAAGGCTGATTCTGGAACTATCATCCTCCCTGGCCCAGCAGAGCCAGCCCCAACTCTCTCCCAGCTCTGCTGAGTGTGGCCAAAAACCTTCTTTACTTACACACACACACACACACACACACGCACACACACACACACACACACAATTGAAATGAGTTTGACCTGTGTTGCTTCATATGAAGGTATCTTAATAAGTTTGGCAGCTTGCAAACTTGGCTCTTAAGTGTTATTTTGTCACTAATGAGGAGCTATGTGACTTTGGGAAAATTAGTTAACATTTCTGTTTTTTTGGGCCATACCCGACAGTACTCAGGAATCAATCCTGGGAGTACTCTAGGGACCATATGTGGTGCTGGGGATCAAACCCAGGTTAGCTGAGTGCAAGGCAAGCATTGTACAGCTAGCTGTCCTATTGCTTCAGCCCCCAAAGTAGGTAACATTTCTAAGCAGGTTCCACTTTGACAAAGCTAAGCTATAATTTCCTCATCTAAAAATAAATCCTCATCATCCCCTGACTCTTACAATGTTGTGTGAGGTTCAAATGAAACAAGAGTTTACATTCTGGGGGGGACAGAGTACTCTGGTGATAAGGGTTAATAATGATCTATTATCACCTATGCTCAAAAGATTGCAGGACTAAATTCCTATGTATCTCTTAGGAGGGATGATCCTCAGACATACAGCCAGTCTGGCAGAGCTTGCAGTAGAGAACAGTGGTAAGTGTGATCACCACGCAGTTACAGTGAAGCTAAAGAAGCACATGTATTAGAGCACTTAAGAGACATGAAAAAGTTGTCGCAGAATACTCCATGCCATTCTTGTTTCGCGTTATTTATGACATCTCCATAACGCTCTCCCCTCCCCTCCACTTTACATGCAGCGAGTTCAGTTCTTCACAACCAATTAGGACTTACTCCTTATCCCAGGTTTGATATCCCATAAGACTATGCCTTATTTTGTTCTTCATCGTTTGTCATGAAGAAAACAGCCTCCTTTTCTAATACAATAAACACAGTGCACAGCGATTTCTTTTAAGTGCTTTTTGGAAAACAGAGACAGAGAGGAAATGTGCTCTTACCTTCTTGCCCTCAACAACCATGAAGATGCATCCTACCACTGTCAGGGCCATCATTATATAGCTGATCTTCACCCGCATTCTGTTCTTCGCAGCATCAAGCATCTCAAACCTAATAATACAATGAGATCATGACAAAAGTTAACTCTTCCCTTAAGCTTCTGATCTGTGCATCACAAGCCAGAAGTGCAGTGGTGCCTATAAAAGAAAAAAAAAAAGATGTGGTACCTGGAGGGGCACAACTATGGTAGGATAACACACATTTAAAATAGGAAAAAGGACGACAAAAGTGTAAAGATAGGCTGCAGATATAGCACGACGGAGATAGTGTACATCCTGCACAAAGCTGGTCTGGGTTTGACTCTGGTACTGCAAGAGGTCCCCCAAGCACTGCCAGGAGTGATCCCTGGGAGCAGAGCCAGAAGTTTAGCCTTCAGCATTACCAGGTCTGACTCAAAAATAAACAAGAAGTGAGTGTTAAGTGTGAATGTATTTTATGGGGCCCGAGAGACCAAACGCTTTATAAACTGCCAAGTCCAAACTGATCCATGGCACCACAAGCTCCCCCAGGAACTGCTGGGGAATGACTCCTGAGTACAAGAATAGCCCCCGTGGCCCAAACCTCCTCCTGTCAAGAGAAGATACTTTGTGATATAAAAATTGAGCCACATCCTACCAATACACAATGGGCTTCATCAGTTTCAACACAAAGATCAAGTCAGAAATGAAAGCGGCTATGAGAGAGCTTAATCTTTTCTGTATACCTGGCTCATGCTCTTTGCCTTAAACCAGGAAAAGACGAGCATGTCTGAACTAGCAGAAAGACCCTTTAAAGGATGCTCCCTTGATGTTTTTAGTTTTACTGATGTTTTGCAAAAACTAAATGACAATGAAACAGAGATTGTATTACTTGGCTAAGTGTCTTCTAACTTGTCTTCTGAATGCAGAACCACATGCCTTAACTAAGGCTGAATCATTACTGTTCTCTCTCTCTTTTTTGCCAGGTGGTGGTGGTGGGGGGGGTGGAATCTGGGAGTCACACAGTGGTACTCAGGGGACCATAGCAAGTATCCTCCCCACTGAACTATCACTCCAGCACAGGGGAAGATATTTTTAAATGCTTGGAAGGAGGCACACAGTTTGGGACAGAGTAAATATAGGTACAAGACTTTGAAAGCATATAAGAGGCAATAGACAGGTCTGAAGAGATAGTACAGCTGGTAGGGTGCTTGCTTTGCATCCAGCCAATCAGAGTTCAATACCCGGCACTCAATATGGTCCCCCAAGCACTGCCAGGACTAATTCCTGAGTGCAGAGCCAGGAGTATCCCCTAAGCATCACCAGGTGTAGTACAAAAACAAAACCAATAAAAAGGCAATGTGAGAATAGGGACTCCGTGAAGAAGCAGTCTGGCCGGAGATCCTCAGGTACTGACCGTGGGTCTACAGGCAGGGCGGGCCATGGTACCACTGCTAAGATCAGTGACTTGCTCAGTTGAAAACATGTGCAATCCCACCAGTCACAAACTTACCACCCATGTAGACAGTATTTTAGATGAATTGGTGTTTATATGGAAAGTGACGGAAATCTTTAAAAAGAAAGAAAAAAGTAAAATGCACTGAAATAAGGGCATGAGGTTGTCCCATATTCTGTTGGGGACGAGAGTGGGCAAGTGAAGCAGAGCCTGGTCAGCTCCCTGGGGCCAGAGGCAAGCTCTCAGAATGGCACTGCAGGCAGGACTTGGTGGGGTGAGTGCCTCTTAGAAGCACCTCCCATGCTGACTGAGGAGGAATTCCCACGGCAAAGTCTACTTGGGATCTATCAGGATCCCAGGCATCTACCAATTTGTTTTCTTCTGCAATAGTTAAGAAAACAGGAGGGTACAAGCACAAACTTTCTGTCATTATTTTTTCATCATGCTCTTATTCTCTCTCTAGTACACTGTCACTTGAGCTATGAAGCAGGACAATTGAAGTGAAACTAAGCTAGTTGGACGGGAGAAGCAGAAGGGCTCTCTCTGTTGAATAAAAACAAATAGTTCCCAGGAAAAGAAACCCTGAATGAACCCAACTCTTTCCCAGTCATGACTGGAACTGGAAGCCAGAAGGTTGCAGGGGCAGTTTCTTGCTAGAAGGGAATGTCCAGCAGCTTTGTCCTGAGTTCCCGTCTCTGAAGAGGAAGCCCCACAGGAGAGAGAGCTTCCATTTCTCACACTCTCTTTTGGCCCAGATACAAGTCAATTCATCTTAACATTATGCCTAAGCAGGGGTTCTTAACTGGGGAAATTTTGTCCCAAGGGGACATTCGGCATCATCTGAAGACAACTGAGCACTACTGGCCTCTGGAGGTGGGGACGCTAGGAGTGCGGCTAAACATCTTTTAAAAAAATAAACAAACAAAAAATGATGTTCTTTTAGTTGATGTGCTGTGATTTTTACAAAGATATCCAAAGTAGGGAGGAGGTTCTTCTGTTGTTGTTTTATGGGGGGCCAGACCCAGTGTGCTCGGGGCTTACTCCTGGCTCTGAGCTCAGGGATCACTCCCGGCAGGACTTGGGAAATCATACGGGATGCTGGGGATCGAATCCAGGTTCCCATCAAGGCGAGTGCCTTACCACTGTACGATCTCTCTGGCCCCAAAACATCTTCTAAAGGCAGGGAGCAACTGTGAACTACCCACAACGTTCATGTGGGGCCTGAGACGCCTGGACGCTCATCCTCCACAGTTGCTGGGAAAATCCCAAGACCCTGGCTGGTGCTGGGACCAAGGAGGGCAGCAACGGGATGCACTGTACCAAATGCAGGAGCTGTCTGCTTTTATAAAGATACTGATGTCTACGCTCGAGCAGTTGGCTAGATTTTTTTAAGGGTACACATTATTATCAATATCTGACTAATTTACCTAGATTTAAAGCAAAGTCAGAACAGTTAGTGTCAGTATTTGGTCATACTTCTGGAGCTAAAGGAGAAAATCAAACTGGCTGTCTTGGGAGCAGCTCCACACAGCACTGGGTAACAAACCCAGGATGAGACATCGCAGCCCAGCCCAGCACTGTTCTCACTCCTGGTGTTTGCCGAAGAGGAGACACCCGGAGAAGGGAAAAGGACGTGGTGGAAAGGTGGTGGAAATTGACTCAGAGGAGCTGCCGTTCCTTTGAAACAGCCCAGGGAGAAATAAATCTGCTGCAACACGAAGTTCAGCACTCACGAGATCGTCTCTGGAATTTCCTCTTCCTTCTTGAAGCGACCTGACCAGATGAGGATCTTGCGCTCCCAATCCGTGGGCTTGTGCAGCGGGACTCGGTGCCTGGGCGCGGCTGCAAGCAGAGTGGACAAGAGACCTTACGTCACTCGCATCGTCACTCTGAATTCCACAATCAAAGCTGTTAACTGTGCTTCTTTCACACCAGAAAGGAAAAATGGAGAATTCGAATTTCAAGCTAATTAGAATTTGATTTAAATGGATTCTCTTCAAGATGCCTCATTTCTAAAAGGAGATTCTGATATTCTGTGAGGCTGAGGTGAAATAAAATCATATTTCCTAATATAGGACTGAGGTGTAGAAGCTGAAAGCACACCATGAACAAAAATAGGATGGTAAGGATTAACTAAGAAGAGAACGGAGAGAGGAGTTTGGTTTGACTTCAGTAGAGGAAGAAAAGGACTGTAAATGTAAAGTAAAATCAAATTATTATAGATCTTAAAGGCCAGACTAAGGTTTTTAGATCTTACTTGGGAACCATTATACACTATGACGGAAGGGAAAAGATAAGAAAATTAATCTTTACAACAGATTGACGAGAGAAAGGAAAGATACCATGGCAACAAGTCAAATGGGGCTGTAATGTAAGGACAACAGGAGATGACACACAGTACAAAACTGTAACACTGGAAAACAGGTAAAAAAAAACCCATCTCAGGGTGCCAAAGAATTTGATAATGATGAAATTAAAGGGCAGCCAGGGAGACAGGACATCAGGGAACCCCAGCACCACATGTCTCGCCAAGCAGGGTTGGGGGTGGCCCTGGTGGCTCCAGCACCAAAATGCAGGCTCACTGCACAGAGCTGAGTATTGTAGGGAGTGCCCTACCACACACACCCCACTTCTAAGCCAAGCATGAATAACACAGGACCTCAAATCACACTGTGAAGCAAAATAAAGAGACTGTGCAAGGAATCAGCAAGAAAGAAAGTGGGAAAAGTCATTTTCGATTCAGCGGGTCTAACAATCCAGTAACACACTGGGGCAAAGAGCCAGGGAGGAAGGAAGCGCACAAGGGATGCCCCGAGAAAAGAAGGGAGGAGGCGGCAGAGGGGCAAGAACGGCGCAGAACCACAGGCCGCAAGAAAGGCTCCCTGAAAAGGAAAATTAGAGGAAAAGGAAAAGAAACCCCCCAAGAAACCCCATCCAGTTCCCACGAACTGCCTTCCTCTCCCCTGCACACACACCAGCTCTTTCACTGTTCCTTCCAGTGTTGGCCCTGGCTGTTCCTTCACTTAGCCAGAAGGTTGCCACGTAATACTAAAAGCACTCAAAAAATATCCCAAGACTCAAAGGCGAGGGAAAGGGAGAGAGCTCAAGGGTAGAGAGTGCTGTAAGTCTGCAAGGCAGGCAGGAGATCCCTGGGACTGCAAGGACCCCGAACACCACTGGCCCTTGCCCCGCTGGTCCCCAGCTCCCCAGGTGCCCTTCTGCTCCTCAAAAGAATCAAAGTGCTTGAGAGACAGTACAGGAGGCAAGATTGCCTGAGCACCATCGGGGTTTACTCCTGCACAGAGCCAGGCACAGCACGTGTGGCATACAACAAAACAAATCAGAGGCGAGAAGAGATATTTAGAAACACAGAGCATTGCTGCAGGGACTTTTGGCTTTTTATTTAAAATTGTTTATTATTATTTTTTTCCCATTGTAGGTTTATCTTTTAACCTTTCTGGCATACAACTTTCTAAATACAATCCTCTAATTACATATTTGGTTTTTTTTTTAAGAATGATAATTAAAGACAATTCGGAAAGCATAGATGTAGAAAGAAAGAAAGAAAGAAAGAAAGAAAGAAAGAAAGAAAGAAAGAAAGAAAAAGAAAGAAAAAAGAGGCGCAGGAGAGACAGCTCCAAGGGCTGAGCATATGCATAGCAGGTGGAATCCGTGACACTCTGGCCCCCAGTACCAAGCCAGGAGGAACACTGGATCTAAACCACCTGTTACCCCTGCCCAAGGAAACCAAAAATCCACCTCCAATTCTCCTATTAAAGCATAATTTACTGTGCTTTTATCTTGGTGCTTTTCCTAAATCTTATCTCAATCAGTATATATGTACATGTAATTTAAATGATTCTTTTTGGGGTCATCACAGAATTTGGTATCCTGCATAAGCTCATCAGTATTATGCTTTGCTTCTGGTTCACATTGGCTATGTCTGGGTGCTACTCTCGAGCTTGGTTCTGGGGTTTGGAGGTGGGGGTGGGGAGCTCCCAGCAGTGCTAAGGGCACAGCTGACAGGTGCACAGCCAGACTGGGAGCTCTGAGCTAGGATAGGTCAGGAAGCAGGAAGCCCTGTTCTCATTTCTTTGATTCCAATGCTGTCCTGATCTTCGGGAGCTGCTTCATGGTCAGCTAGAAAAACAAATAAGAACTTACAGGATGGAGTTGTTTTCGGGCTTTCCTGTGGTTTGGTGCAAAATCCATTCATTATCTTCAAATCAGAGTTTCTGGAAAGCCGGGGAGATGAAGAAGCATCTCTTCCAGGTACCCTCAAACAGCTTCCTAGAAAAGAAGAAAATAGGCTCAGAGAAAGAGAACTTGGCACTGTTAAGTACACATTTCATTTTATCAAAATTAATCCATTTGAAAAATCATAGTACAGCAGTTACGGCACATGTCTGACACGCACCCAAGCCAGGTTCAATTGCCAGCACCACATGGTCTGCTGGGCACCACTGGGGTGGCCTGGGTGTCCCCGACCTGGTCCAAGCAGCATCACATTTTCAGGTCACTGCTCTGAAGTGATGACCAGGTTAGCCAACGACTACCACACTCACAAACACTTCTTGGGAAGCTTTCCGGTAAAACAGTAAATCAATAAATATTTTGCTGATTTAAAAAAAAAAGGAATTTATAACAAGCAGCCGTTTATAGCAATTTAGCAGTTGTAAAATTTCATAAAAGTCTAGTTCGTGTATCTTGTCCTATGGCAAAAATGGTTTTCTGGTGAAATTGTGTCTTAGGGCACCTGATGGTGGATTTATTTAAAAAAAAAATCTTACCCCTAACTGTGGTACATAATTGAGAATATGGTTGACAAACTGCACAGCTTTCTGTTCTTAGTCCCCCTCCACTACCCCCACCTTGTGTCACGTGTCTGTTAAAGACACTACATCACTTTTAGGATTTCTGGCTTTCTGGATTTTGCCTAATTTTTCTAACTCCTGTGTTTTCTACAGGCAGATTTTTGAGGATGACTGGATTCAAGTGAGTTTTTATTCTTTCCTTTTATTTAGCAATCCTCAAATTGGTTTCCAGGCAACCCATACAAACTATTTTTTGTTTAAGGTACTTTGGGGAACCTTTGGCTAAACGGTCCTATGTTCCGGATCATTTCAGTTATTCTTTCTCATCTTTAGACACTGAGAACTCTTCTAAGTCGGCACCTGAGTTCTTTAAGCACATCTGCTCATCAGAGTTTCCTTCCTTTCTGATGCGGTATTCCAGGCTCAGTGGGAAGCTTCCTGCTCCTGATCTGGAATCACACATTCCTCCAAGGGGTCCCTTTAAAGAGGGAAGGTTTTCAGGGAGGATCCTTGCTGCTGCGTTTGTCATTCTTTCCAGGCTTTTTAATGAGCTAAGCAAGGAAGGACATGATTTTTTTGTCCCTGTCTGTCATGCCTCTTCATCTATGAAAGAAATGCGGGGGTGGGGGAGGGAGAAGGGGACAGCGCTGTAAAGATAATACCGTAGTAAGGCAAGTACTTTACCCTGATCCAGTTATGTTCCATCACTATGTTCCCCCGGGCATCATCTGGAGTGTCACTGGGCAGAAACGGGAGTACACTCTGGCACTGCCGTCTGTGTTCCACTCCCTGATTCCAATTGTTTTTGAGTTCCTATCAGTTTCTTGCAAACATGTTTTAGGCTTCAGGTATATGGTTTTATGTCTCGACATCTTATAGACTACATTCTGATCACCAACAAGTCCAGTTTCCATCTTAAAACAGAAGGACGCTTTTAAGCTTAGTTTTGGATAAAGGTGGAGTCAAGACGCCAAATCTGGAGAACATATATTCATATCCTCCTGGACACCTGGCCAAGGAGACAGCACATTTTCAGCTGGAGTTTCAGCTATTCACCTTGTCCTGCTCCCATACCAAACTGTGAAATCAAAAAGTCCATCCTGGACCACTAAGTCTTAATGCCCTTCAAAATCTACCTGCCTTTCTGTGCACGCCAGTGACTTAAATTTATATTTTCAGGCACCAGGGATAAATCTGATGATGGTCCTGGTATTTCTGAGATAAAAAAAAAACGGCATTGGGGTGGAATAATAGTATAGCAAGTTAGGGTGCTTGCCTCGCATGTGGCCAACCCAGATTCCATCCCTGACACCCCATATAGTCCCCCAAGTTCTGCTAGGAGTAACTGATCCCTAAGCCCTCAGCACCACCAGGTGTGACCCCCACCCCCAAAGAAAATAGAAGAGAGGAACGCCCAAGACCGTGTTTGTTTATTTGTTTTTCCTTCATCAGTGCTGGATAGCAAACCCAGAGCCTCACACAAGCCAGCCAAGTGCTCTACCCCTCAGCCCCAACCCGCTCTAGGAGAAGAGTGCCCTCCGAGATTCAAAGCTCAGAAGAGAGTTCAAGTAATTTTAATAATATTTTTTAGAGACAATCTGCTTCTTTAATTCCAAATTCATACCTGAGTGTCATTGCAACTTCACATCTTGGAGCAATAAGGGAAGGCAAGAGAGTATAAGAGCAAAATACTGGTTATGGAGATGGGCTCCCAAAGTCAGTTAAAAATAGCAAGTCCTTACTTTTTCTCATGCTATTAAAAAAAACCTTTTTAAATATCACAATTTATATTTGTATAAAGATTTTTAAAATAACACTTAGCAATGGGGTTGGAAAGACTACCCAGTTCAATCCCTAGCACCACATATGATCACACTGAGGCCTGCCAGAAGCGATCTCTGAGCAGAGCCAGGAGTAAACACCGAGGACCATCAGGTATGGCCCAATCCTCCCATCCCCATGGAAAAAAAAATGAAACTTAGTAATGTTAAATAAACCTTATACTTAAATTTAAAACTTTTTGTATAATCTCATCATAAAATTCATTTTTTCTTTTTCTTTGCCGCTTCCCATTTTTATTGAGGTACCATGCTGTACAATGGAATTCTTTTTTTTTTTTTTGAATGTAATTAACTTCTGGAGCTAAAGACACCTGAAAGTCCTTAGCTATTCAGAATTTTATTTTTTTAATTTATTTATTGAATCACTGTGGGAAAAGTTACAAAGTTTTCAGGTTTAAGTCTTGGTCATGCAAATATCAAACACATTTCCCCTGACCAATACTTATTTTTCACCACGGAGAACCCCAATAAACACCCCCCCCAACCCTCCCAATGCCTGTGAGGCAGATGAATTCTAGTTAACACTCTATCTACTTTGACTCGATTCATTGTTTCGACAAAGGATGCACCATTACTATTTAGAGTTTACAACCCCAAATCAGACATGCTGAAAAGGCATTGTGAAATAATTAGTTTTCTAGAACTGGTCACAAGAATTAAATTATGTTGCACGGCCACAATAGCGGCTGCATGATTTTGGATTTCTGGTATTTTATTTATTAACCCTGGAAGTATTTCTGCTGAGAGTCAGATAATTATGAGATTGGTTTCTGTGCTCTGGAGCCATGGCCGTGCCGGAGAGCCGCTCGTGGGGGGCAACTCGTGATCTCAGTAGGGCGTGAAGGACGAGCCGGGAACGCCCCCCTTCCCATGAGGTTTCAGTTGCCCCATCACGACCAGCCAGCTCATACCTGGCTTTCCACAAAGCTCCCAAGTGGCTGCCATCTTTCTTTCCAGAGGGAAAAAGCATCCTTTTCATTTTAGATGCCTTTCAAAATCTGCCTGCCTTTCTGTGCATGCAAATTTAAAAACTACAATTCAGTGACTTATTGTTATATTTACAAAGTTGTGTATTGATCACCATCTGATCCCGGCAGATTTTTTTTTTTCCCCCTTTATTTTATTTTATTTAAAGTTGTAGATTTACAATTTTTTGTGCTTTGGTTTCAATTATACAATGATCAGATACCCATCCCTCCACCAGTGCCCATTTTCCACCACCATGGATAATATCCCTCCCACCCCCATCCCCCCATCCCCCCATCTCTGTGGCAGGGCAATCCCCTGTGTTCTCTCTCTCCTTTTGGGTGTTGTGGTCTGCAAAAGAGGCATTGAGTGGCAAACATGTTCAGTCCATAGTCTACTTTCGACATGCATCTCCCCTCCTGGGAGGATCCTCCAAACATCCTTTATTTGGTGCTCCCTTCTCTATCTGAATAGCCCTTTCCTCTAGGATACCCGGCTGGCCTCTAAGTTATGGAGTAATCCTCCTGGTGCTGATCTCAGCTATTCTTGGGTATTAATCTTATACTTTGTTACTTTATATCCCCCAGATGAATGCAATCTTTCTATGTCTATCCCTCTCTTTCTGACTCATTTCGCTTAGCATGATACTTTCCATATTGTACCACTTGTATGTAAATTTCATGACTTCATCTTTTCTAACAGCTACATAGTACTCCATTGTGTAGATGTACCAAAGTTTCTTTAACCAGTCATCTGTTCTTGGGCATTCAGGTTTCTTCCAGTTTCTGGCTATTGTAAAGAGGGCTGCAATGAACAAACAAGTGCAGATGTCACTTCGACTATACATTTTTGCCTCTCTGGGATATATTCCCAGGAGTGGTATTGCTGGGTCAAATGGGAGCTCAATTTCTAATTTTTTGAGAATCGTCCATACTGTTTTCCAGAAGGGCTGAACCAGTGGACATTCCCACCAACAGTGAAGGAGTGTCCCTTTCTCGCCACATCCACGCCAGCATCGGTTGCTTTTGTTCTTTTGAATTTGGGCCAGTCTCTGAGGTGTGAGATGGTATCTCATTGTGGTTTTGATCTCCGGCAGATTTTTATCACTATCAATCACTACCTACTAGTTCCCTGCCCACATCCTAGGAAACCATGAATCAACCTTGCTCCATGGATTTGCATATTATGAATATTTTATATAAATGCCAGCTTTTGACTGACTTTTCCCCCTTGGACAGGTTTTCAATATTTATACAGTTAGTGATTATCAGTATTTCTTCCACGGACAAATTTCATTCCATTGCATGAATACTGCAGTTCTTGTTCATGCATTAATCAATGGATAAAATTTGGATGATTTCTTTTGTGGGGAGGGGGTACAGCCCCTTTTGGCTATCCTTTCTTCTTTCCTTGGCAATTCCCAGTCACATCTGGAGGTGCTGAGGGGAAGGCAGTAGTGGGATCATCCTCAGGGCTATGTGAATGCTAGGCATGTCCTCTACCAGCTGTTTCGCCAGCCCTCAGTTGCACTGCTGACTCACTGAACTCTACCCAGTCAGTCAAGGAACTGCTAGACTGTCTTCAAGGAGCTAAAACGTTTTTCTCTTCTACTAACAATGTATGAGAATTCCAATTTCTCTACATCTTGAACCACATCTTTTTCATCTTT